TTTCCGAGAGTTTTTACCTACCTCTTGCCTTTTTGACCAGCGCCTGGTAAGAAGACATTCATTTCAGAGACCTGCTAGCAATAATTTCAAGACCATTCCAGCGCGGTGACAGCTTGTTTAGAACCACCATCACCTTTGGGAAGTTACAAAAGTTTCCACAATTTGTATTGCTCTGCATTTGTTGTGTTATTTCAGCTGCCACATTAATCCCAGTTTTGTGACATTACATCAACTTCCTGCAGTCTACATTAGCTTTGCAAAACCTGAATCACTCATCTTCACACTATTTTCACAGCATTTCCTGCACTCCCAACAGCTTCTATAAAACTAGTCTAAACAGAAAAGGCTTTAGGAGGGGCAATCAATTAAACTAGCTTTGAACTTTTCTATATAACTGGATCCCAACTTAATTATTTCCTAATTATATAAGGAAGGAGGTCTAATAAAATATAGGACCTCTCCATCACTGATATTCCCAGGCCTTCACAGCTAAAACATTGATTATAAGCATACTGACAGAATTGTATGAACAAGTAAAAGTAATGCAATGGTTTTGATAACTTGTACACATCAGTACCTAAAATAAGATTGCTTGATGTGATTAAACTAGTGGTCAGCAAGGCCCTTGCCAATGCTGCAAGCTGAGAAACGAAGCCCTTCTTGGTACTTCCCGATTTGGTTCTAACAGCAGTATAGATGACTGATTTATTGTTAGAAATAATGCCACCTTCCACATGGCAATTGGATAAAGCAGGCAACAACAAAAAAAATTAATTCCTCAAAGTTATTACAGGAGCTTAAGGGTAACAAAAGAAAAACAATGATGTTTTCCTTAGGTTACCCAAGTTTCATGATGACAAGCGCTGGATCTCTCACCATCACAATTGTAACAAACAATACTCTAAATCCTAAATTCAAATTTACAATACCATATTGCAATAAACAGCTATTTTTTTACAATACTTTGCTTGCTTTTGCAATAGGATTTAAAAAATGGGAGTCAACTTCAAAACATCAGCACTTCTGCGCGCGTTTCACAGCATGTTTTAAGAACCTTTACGGCAGGCTGATACTCTACTCTGCAGGGAATGAAAACTGAGCACTTAACTACAACCTGCAACATTTTAACCCAACTCGCAGCTGTGCGGCTGACTGGAGGGGCGTCGGTCCTGGAAAACAGGGTATTCCTGCCCTTCTCTGCTGGGTGCCGCGCGAGGTGCCAGGACAGGACGAGAGCCCACCGGGTGTGGAAGAGCAGTTACGTTCACCCCTCGTGAAGGGCCCAGAATACAGAAGGCCGCAAATAATACTACTTTAGTAAGTTACCTGCATCACCTACCAAGGCTGAGCATATAACTCATTTACTTTGCAGTCCTATTTAACAGCTGGAAAAGGAAGCAGCCCTTATCAACCTTGGGCATCCTCGCTGACGATCTTCGCTCGCCACCCCAGCAGGCTGGCCGTCACCTCAGCCTGTTCACGGGGCGGAAGCCTTGGACAAGACGCGGACACGCCGGATCAGCGCTACGAAAACCAGTCCGGGCTGGACATTTTGGGGCGAGGGCGCGACCAGCGCCCGCAGCGCTCTGGGGCAGGCACCGACGCCCAGCACGCCCTCGGCGGTCAAGCTCCAGAAACATCCGAGCAGGGCTCGGCGATGCCCGCGGAAGCGCAGCCCCCGCCTCGCACCGGCGAGGCCGACACGGGGAGGCCCTGCTCAAAAGTTTGTCCCCATCTTTCTTACAGGCCCCCTTTAAGTATTGAAAGGCCGCAATAAGGTCTCCCCGAAGCCTTCTCTTCTCCAGGCTGAACAACCCCAACTCTCTCAGCCTTTCTTTACAGGAGAGGTGTTCCATCCCCCTGATCATTTTTGTTGCCGTTCTCTGGACCCGCTCCAACACCAACAGGTCCATGTATTTAATTATGCATAAAAAGCTCGTTGCATACATTTGTAGTTTTTCCATGTCTCACCTGCTTAAATG